AAATAAATAAATAATACATCCATGCAGGACTAACTGATTTGAAGAACGTCTATAATTATTCTGTTTCAATTATATTTTTCAGCTTAGAAAACGAGGTGTTTTTTGGTTTATAAAATATTGAGCAGAAAGAAAATTTAAATTTAAAAGTGTGATTCAATCAGCAGAAATTTAAATGTCTTGTCACAGATAATAATTAAATATATGCTATAATAAATAAAAATCAATTCACAGCATTGTATCATCATTTCTTAACCACAACAAGGTTTTTTTTTTTCTATTTATCCTTCATTTATAGAGAAAATCGTGTTTTTTTTTATTCTGTTGTGCAAGTAGGCATCACTTAGGAACAACTGACACAACCAGTTCAAAACAGCTGTAGTAAGTCGACTTGTTTTACTGTTCACTATCAAATGAGCTGGCAGGAAATTCTCTTGAGTTTCATTTGTCACATTCAGTAAGCGAGACCAGTAACGACTTACAGGAAATGAGTGATGGAAAATTATATCATCAAAGGCTGAAATCAAAATGTGTATCCAGGTTACATCTACTGGTAAATGATGCATACTGCAGCTTTTACCTAAAGCATTAAAAAGGATGCACTGCTAACATTTTAAACTATATATATATATATATATATATATATGTTTTTCTTTTCAAAAACTCCCTCTATGTGTTATACTGTGTGATGTATTGCAACTTGGATTTGATACACTTTCCAGGTGTTATTCAGATTTTGCAGACATTAAATACAGAACAATCCCATTATTCATGTGTTCATTCTATACCCATGTTTTAAACAGTGTCATTTCCATGTTTGGAGTCGGCCGCCAGCGCTTCTTTAAAGAGTCTTTTTCTCTCCAGATTATCATTTGCCTTCCTCCTCTTCTCTTGTTTCCTCAGCTCAGACTCTTTCTTCTTTATAGTAACTTCACTGAGCTCTCCTTTATATAAAACATCGAGTTTCTCTCTCATAATGTCCCGAGCACGCTTTCGATTTATATCCACGGATCTGGTCTGATGGCACTGCAGAGAAAAAAATAAAAAGAAATTACATTGACATGGTGAGTAAAGTAAATAACAGAACAAAAACAGAAAAAAATCCCACCTCAAGGTTCATTTAGTAGCTGTTCTGTTCACCATTACCATTGTTTTCTTGGGACTGAAAGGACTTCAGGGGATTTTAACTTTTAAGACAACACAAGTCCTTAAAGATTCCCTCCCAGACATGTATAAAGACGTATATATACAAACTGCTTGGAACAATATTCTGTGTCTGATTCCACATTAAAATCCTTAAAAAAATGCATCTACTCCTTCTACCTCATCTATTAATATACAAATGTTCATTTTTAAAGTTTTCCTGCTGGACACAAGATGTCTCCTACTTAACTGTGAAGTCCATTCTCAGTGTTTGTACATTGGTGGTTTAAAGTTCCCACATTGCACTTATATAATGGACTAGGATTGACTTCAAAACAGCTGTAGGAACAAAAAAAAACATCATTTTGACAGGAGGGGAACAAAAGGTAGGACATTTCCATGACAACCAGGCAGCTGCGGATGAAGATCATGTAATATGATGAAATAATCAGAGCAGCTACTACATGAACCTCCAGGTGAGATGGATTAATCAACAGAGGTTTTCAAAGTTAAAGGTTAAAACAACATAAATCAACATTTTGGTCATTCACGCCCCAAAAATCCATGTTAAACGTGGACTGACAGACACCAGTGATGACAGATTAAACCCAGACTCATTTAAAGAAACTAAAGTGAACTAACCTTGACAACAATCCCACTGGGGATGTGCTTGAGAACCACACAGTTGCTGGTTTTGTTGGTGGCCTGTCCTCCGGGTCCAGATCCTCTCACAAACTGCTCCTCCAGCTCGTCCTCATTCAGGACGGGAAGGTCCACCAGGTCCTTCTTCCCGGCTGCCAACACCCACGGCAGTCCTGGCGGTGGAGAAACACTGGGAGCAGCTCTCCATAAGACCCGACTGCACACACTGTACACACTGTACACACTGTACACACACACTGATGGACGGAAAGAGCCGAGACATCTCTTTAAAAGGCCTCAGAGCGGCTTTTTACTGGCGCTGTGAATCAATATATATGTAATGAATGAGTGTCTGAGAGGATTACATCATTGTGTATGTCACCCAGCAGATAAATGTTAGTTATTTCTTCACCAATTACTCATATTTCTTCAGTTTTAGGTCAATCGTCTGGAAGCGTGTTTTCTGTTTACGTTCAGTCTGTGACGCTTCCGCTACCAGTCGGCCAATCAGCGGCCGTTGTGTTCTTCTTCGTGGCCAGAATAGCGGGTATAGAAGACACAGCGCAGGCGCTCTGCCGCCACCTTGTGTCGGCTCGATGAACAGCTCTGCTTCTGGGTAAGAGACTGTTTTATAAATGTTGACGGTCGATAATCAGAGTTTGAGTTTCTTTAATGTCTCTTTCTTGTAGATATTTTGAAAGGCGTCACTGTTGCGTGAAAGGTGCTCAAAAAAACAGCTTTTAAAGTGAGCAGGAAGGTGGCGTACAATGGCGCAAGTCCCCTTGTACAACTTTGTGGAAGTTCGGTTCCTGATTGCTGTGCTTGATAATTAACCAACTATTATCAGCTGTGTGTGAGGAAACCTTAACGCCCTCTCCCTACAGCAGATTGCACTGTGCTCTAGATACTGCACTTCACTGTCAATGATTGGGTGTTACTGCGTATGACAAGATATAGTCAACATAAATAACCCTAACCCACATTTCAACCCATATTATGTATGTATGTATGTGTGTGTGTGTACCTCCCTCTTAAGAGCTGCACACACTCCGCACCTGAGATGTGGTGTAGAAGGTTATCTGCTCATTTAGTGACACTGATGACTGATAGTGATTCTGAAATGTTTCACTTTAAAGGCCTTTTTCAAAGCAGACAGTGTCATAGTGAGAGAAACACTGGTGTTACCACTAACATAAACCATTGCTCAGTTCACTTCAACTATACCACTAAAGCCACGTGACAGTGAGCCAATATTAACCTGAAGCAGCCAAATGAAACCAGACCTGTGACACATCAAAATGTACTTTGTAATACTTACATACTAGACTTTCCAGCCACAGGACTAATTTTCATTAGATCAACATATACAGAGGGAAAAGAGAGATGTTTATTATGTTGCAGGTTTATAGTTTGAGAAGTTTCTTGGGATTGTTTTTAAAACTTTGTCTGCCATGAACTGATCACAGTTGGCATCAAATACCACTGTGAACCCAGGCGGACTGCGGCCTCCATTGTCTGTGAAGGAGAAAAGAAATGTACAGCCCATCTTCAAGTCTACTGGGAGAAAGTGTTTCATAATTAAAAGAGACATTCTGGATAGAGTAATGATGTGAACCCTCCTTTTCACACTAACAAGAGCATCTGCAAGAGCATGGCGGAATTAAATAATGGATGAATTATTATCACTTCACCTGACGCTGCTGTAGGTTGGCTGTTTTATCTATTCGACATTCACACCACACGTTACATAACACTGTTTTACATTAATTTGTTTTACACTGCACAACGCGTTGCTGCTGAGTCGAATAAAATAGCTTTCATTTTAGCTTTAGTTTTCTGTGATTTGCAGGCGTCCATCAGTTCAAGCAGTGCCAAACACTTGTGTGAGGAGAGCTGTCTGTCGTAGTTTCTGAAGGATTCCTAAAAAGCTCCAATATAATGTAACATTGACGCCCATTTAATGCAATAAATGCAAGTATTAAAAGAATTGTTTCCAAACTGTTTCCATATGGTGAGAAAGTATCGGACTGTGATGTACTGCCTCCTGCTCTCTCCCTTGGCGATGACTATAATTAGTAAACTAGGAAACTATGTAGGTCACAGGGAAAAGACAATCTCTCTGATGACCCACGATGACATCTCTCTGATATTGCAGGTGGGGGGGACGTGTATTTATAATTACTTGAACTTTATCTTCAGTGCGCACATTAAAACTGACCCTCATTCTGGTCCAATATAGCCTTGACTCTGTCATTCTTATGCGGATGATGCAGAACACTCACTCAATAATGTGCAACCTGCAGTATTTGTAAGAAATCAGCTTCCTACATTTCACAATCTCTACAATCTAGACGTCAACAAGTTGAGGTTCACGTGGAAATGGTTGTGTAAGGTAATTCACACTGTGTGTAACCCCCATGTAACAGGATATTATCTATAGGTGTAAATACCTGTATAATGTATGACACTGCTGTGTGAGGCTGTTACCGGTAGTGAAATGTATTTCCTAACATTGTAAAGGAAGTGAAACTGCTCAGTAGGCTCACTTTGCTTCATCTGTGGTGCAGCGGTAGCCTTTTTCTCCTTTTTTTGATAGGGCAAGTAACTATTGATCTGTAAGATAACCGAGCTATCGTACAGTGGTAAAACAAATATTCAGTATTATTAATGAAGCTATACTACTTTTTGTCTCTCTCTGAGGTTCTGTGCACAGCTTACTAAGGACAAGTTTCTTTGCAGTGCTTTTTTTAAAAGTTTGTAGATATGATTACATTAAATGTACAGTATCAAAGCAGATGTGCCTAAACACATTGAACATTTGAGTAAACTGCATAACTATCCAGACTATAACACGCCAGTATGTATGAATGTTACTCAACAGGCACTGACTGCAGCTCTGTAACTTCACATCCAATAATAATACTTATGTCTGCGGAAATACTTACACCACTCAGTTTAGATCATATACTACTTTGCCAGCAAGGGGCGCCCCACTATTGAAACTGGTCGACTGAAGCCGCTGTACGAGTCTGAGCTTCGTCAAGTTAGCAGAAAGGAAGACAAACACCGGAAGTCAACCAAGTAATCCTTCAAATTAAAATATAAAATGTGTTTGTGCTGCTGTAGTGTATTTACACGTGAGGTATTTGTGTAATTTGACTAATACTTGCATATATATATAAAAAAATATATATATCCCTATTATTATAGTCTTGAATTTAATTGACTGTAGCATGAGTTCATTATGTATTACGTTTCGTAGCATCTCCCACCTGATAGATTTAGATAAATTGCGTGAAATTGTATTTTTATGAATCAAACAGCAAATGTGTGTGCACGGTGTAAAAGTCTCTTGGGAGATTTTATTACAAGTTTCAACGTTTACAACTTTCCCAAAAAAAAAACAAAAAAAAAACACCACGCCAGTAAGTCAGACTTTTATTTTAGAAAACTGCACCGGAAGCTTTGCCGCGCTCTGTTTAGCCTGACCAGTATTTCGTGTCGTGTCTGTGAAGGAGGACTGTGAAGTCTTGCAGCGGTTCAGACTTGAGGAGCGACACAACTTAACGATGGCGAGTGCTCTTCATCAGTTCTCTCTTCATCGGTTCTCTGCACGGAGGCGACGGCAGCAGCAGGTCTGAGCTCCCCGCCGTTTTCATGTTTCATCGCCAGGACTGAGCCCCGAACCGTCACCTCCTGCCCCCCCACCACCACCACCACCACGTTCCGCCTCTGCTGCCCCGCGTCCTGACCCACACTGAGCCCCTCCCCCGCTGACGGCAGCAGGCTGGAAGGTTTCTACGGGACCGCGATCAGGAGCTCGTTAATGTGATTTTGATCTGAATAAAGACGTTTGTTGGACCTTTTCCACAGCAGGACCGCCACGAAACCGCCTGCAGTCTCTGTCGCCCCCCCGCCGGGTGGACGGGTCCCTGGAGCTGAATCTGGGCTCTGCTCAGGAGGTGATACTCAACCCGGGTCAGGAGCTTTCAGGGGTCGGAGGCAGTCTACCACCGCGTCCCCGCTGCATTCAGGCAGTGAGAGTGGGAGCAGAAACTCAGACGATGAGACATTTTGGGCGTTTTATGTCTGTAGTTGTTATAATTCAGTTTTTTAACTTTTCAATAAATATGCAAACAGTTGTTGTTATTATTCGTTGTGTATGTTGATGCTGAATGAGGTTCCTGTCCGATCCCGACCCACCTCGAGACGCTTTTATGGACAAATAAGTTCATTTAACTCAAATCAAAAGTTTTAATTAAAATGAAAACAGCTTTAAGTTATAAAGAAACATTAGTAGTAGTTTTAGTAGTTTTAAGTGACTCTGACTCATTACAATCAAGAGTAAAATCGACTTCATCAGTAATCTTTTCTAACTTAAAAAACTGAGTTTGTGTTGAAATGTTTGATGCTGAATCCATTTGAACTGTTATTACGTGACAGCGTCTCCGTCTGAGTAACTGCGTGTCCGAGTAAACACAGCTAGCTTAAGGCTAAGAAAACAGCACTGAAGATATAATGTTAAAAATAATCTGGGTTTATGTGTTTGTGGGTCCAGTTCAGGCACTAACACTAACACTAACATAAACCATTTCGAATCCCTCACACGACCTAAATGAGCTAATGTTAGCCAGCACAGCTAGTTAGCAACGTTGAATGTTTCCATCAGCGTTGGACTGAAGACTCGGAACCGAAAGGAATAAATCTTCAACTTGTTCCTGAAAAGATTCACAAAAACCTGAAAAGTTTTGGAATATTTTCTTTGATCGTACTCGTTTCTTTTTCTCCCCTTTTGTATAAATTATATTGTTATATTTATTATTTTAATACATGTATTTTCTGTTATAAAAAGATCTTTTCAACACATTTTCTATGATTATAGCTGCAGCGAACAGGTCAAAGGTCGCACAGTAGTGTGTGTCTGATGAACAGAAAGACCATATATATATATATATATAAATAAAAGCATGAATCCTGTCGCTCAGCGGTTCTCTGGTTCTGGTTCTGACGGTGTGGAACATGAATCTGAGACATTTGATTGATGAATTAATGATAAAGTCTGATAAACAACTTCATCAGAAGTGCTGGAGATTCGTTCTCCATCCGTCCGTCTGTCTGTCCAATCAGACGAAGGAAGCTTTCATCAGAATCAGCTGATGAAATATTAAAGAGCGGCTGAAATATTAATACTGTTAAAAGGCAACGATTACACATCAGAACCACAACTCTGTGAATGTTTCCTTAAGTGCAGCAGAGTGTCTGAAAGCTAAAGTTCCACTTTACTTTAATGTGTTCATTTATTTATCATCTATACGTGATGTTTCCTCCCGTCTGAAGTTCACGTGTAAAGAACAGTTTATATAAAGTAGAACTTATTTTTTTTTACACAACATTCATCCTCTCACCAGCCATTAAAGGAAGAGGTAGAACTGTCTGTCTGTGTGTGTGTG